GAACTAAATATGTTATATGTATCATTTATTTAAGAATAGGCAGAAAATTCACTCTGACCTTGATAAGAATTGGGCAAATCCTGTTAGTAATTTTAGTCAGAGACAATCTTAATAGCCCGTGAGGAGAAAGTTCTGAAAAAGAATATTGGCAAATGAAACCCAGGGGATTATCACTTTTAAGTTTGAATCAGGAAGTTCTTTCTTACATCTAATCTAAAATTTGCCTATTATATTTAAGCCTGTTCATATTTAGTCACCACGGAAATAGGAAACAGTTCGTGATTATAGTTAATACTATATGGTCTGTTTTCATTAGTGTAAGATTTCCAAACCAAGACAAATGCTGCATGAGCAAAAACATGATGCACATATTTGTTCAGGGGTAATGAATAGATCATTTTAGCTGAGTAGGATGTTCTTGGCAGATGGTAGGAAATGAAGTTAAACAAAGTAGGTTGGAGCTAGATTGTTGTGACTATGTCTCTTATGTAGGAGCTTTTTCTTAAAATAATAATAATGTTTTATTGAGTTTTTGGTGAAAGTTTACACAGCAAGAAGTTAGCTTCCCATTTGACAATTTCTCCAGAAGCTATTTGCTAACATTAGTTACATTTATTAAATGTGTCAACACTGTGTTCAGTTTGTTCCCTTTCCAGTACTCTAGTTTCTGTGCCTCTTATCTTTTCATGTTTGCTTTTGAGTAATTGTTGACCTTTTAATCTCATACTGATGTTTTTTTAAGTAGGGCATAGATCTTATGGGTAATATTCTTTATTTTATGTGCCACTAAGCTATTTTGCTAAAACGTGATCTCAGATGATAGACTTGGTTCTAGGCTTAAAGAGTGTCTCAGGGAGACAGCCTCAGGTAATCCTCTCTTCTCTATTGTTCTTTTTTTTTAAAATAAGAATTTGAGTTCTCCATATATTTTCTCCCATTCTGTCTTGGTCAGAATGGCCTGTAGTGGTAGTTGGGCACATCAAGTTCTTCTGGTCTCAGGGTAGATGAGATTGTGGCTTATATAGACTTGTTTCTTCTCTGTGTTTTTAGTTACCTTCTTACTGTTTTGTTCCTGGTGAGTGAAGACTCGTAGTTGAGTCTTAGCTGGCATTTTGCAATCTTATAAGACCTCAGACACTAGTGTGCAGATCATGATTTTTGTGAACTAAGTTAAACCAGTTAACTGAGTTGTCCCATGAGACTATGGTCCTAAGCCTTCAAACCCAAAAACCAATTTTGGAATATATTTGATTATAGCTGAGGATTATCAGTATGTTTGTCTTTAATGACTGTATGTGCCCTGCATTCACATATTGATATGTACTAATACCTGCTTCTATCTGTTCTCACCTATATACACATCTGTGCCTATATACACATCTGTACCTATCCAAATGCAGTTTGCCTATACTCATGAGTATGTACTCAAGTGCTTATTTTTATTTTGTGCTGTTCTTACTATGTGGGAACTTCTGAGTTAGAATGAGAAGTCAAAACAAAACTTTTAAATATTAATCTGGTAGTGCTTTGTGAAGTGGACTAAAGAGAGAAAATATTGTAAGCAGGGTTAACAAAAAGTTCTAATGATTGTCTAGTTGTGAGGTGATACGGGCTTGACATTTTGTGGTAAGTAGAAATAATGAGAATGGGATGGATAAAATAAACATTTGAAAGGAAGAGGTTTGGTGTATGGGAAGGCCAGAAAGCAGAGAAGGCTTTGTGGTTGTAGGTATGGATGAACAGTAAATAGTATAAGTACCTGAACTGGAAGGTCAGGAGAGTAAAGAGGTGGTTGGAAAGCAGGGATGATGAACTTGGTTTAAGATAATTTAATACCGAGTAGCAATAGAATTACTTATTGGACAATTGCAGATACGGGACAAGAAGATGAGAATGTATTCTCTTACTAATGTGCTAATTTGATTATATGAATTTTATAATTATTAAAAAAAATTAGTATAAAGTGTTGAAAGTGTGTGGTGTGGCTCTTCTGTGGTGGGTCTCCTTATTATTATTTTCCCAGAAGTTACCGCTATTAATCAGCTTGCTGTGTATTTCTTGTCTTTTTGTGTCTATTTATCTTTATCTATCTTCTTCATCATATTGTGAACATATTATTAATATTTTCCCTTTTCAGTCACAGTAGATCTAACTTATCCTCTAAATGCATAGTGTAGATGTACCTTATTTATAGAAAGGGGCTCTGGTGGCTTAGTGGGAAAAAAAAAAACAAAACAACTCCCTGCCCTCAAGTTGGATCCGACTCATAGTGACCCCTCCTTGGGTTTCTGAGGTAGTATCACTATGGAAGTAGATTGCCCAGCCTTCCTTCCAAGTGGCTGGTGGGTTTGAACCACCCGCCTTCTGGTTAGCAGTCACATGCCTTAGGGACTATGCCACCAAAGCTCCTGGTGGCTTAGTAGGTAAGTTATTTGGCTGCTAACCCCAACATCAGCAGTTCAAAAGCACCAGCTTTCCTGCGGGAGAAAGATGAGTCAATCTACTTCTATAAAGATTTGCAGCCTTGGAAACCCAATGGAGATCTCTGTGGGTTGGAATTGACTCAATGGCAGTGGTTTGATTTTTTGGGGGGCT